CCTGTCCATTACGCCAGGTTGCCTGCTTCCTCACCACCTCATGGCTTCCTTCAAAAGTAAGCTCATGGCCCACAGTCTGCAGGAGGACTTTCCCAGGCTCCCCGTCCCCTGCTACCCCCACTGCTAATGCCTTCCTTCTGAGATCACTTCTCATTTATCCTGAATATATCTTGTACATAAATAGTTGTTTGCATATTGTCTCTCACATTGGAATGTGAATTCCTGGAAGCCAGGAATAGTTTTTGCCCCAGCACCTTAGCATCGTACTTTGCATATAGTAAACACTTAATAAATGCTGACTGACTGACTCTCTAAGGAACAGGGGGTTGGGTTGTATTTGAGAAATTATGTATAATATTGCATTTCACTACACTAACCTTCACTCTGAAGCAAAAACCCATCTTTTAACAATAATATTCTTATGGTGATGGATAGCTACAGATCATAGAATGTCCTAATCTGCATGGAATAAAAGCTGTGGATCAAACAAAGGGCCATAGAGAAGTGGCTAGGCTACTTCATATGGGTAGGCTGCAGCTGATTCCCCTCAGAGATGTGGGCAGGAGAAGCAGGAAAAAAGTTGGTCTCAAAGAGATGCATGATCATAAAGCAGAAAGGGAGGTGGGTCAGTCACATAGTGAGAAGGACATATCCTCAAGAGATAGTTGGTGACTAAGTGATAACAAGAGTCTCTAGAAGACCCTGAATACAATCCCCCAAATGTGGTCTGACCAGGGCAGAGCGTAGCAGGTCTATAACTCTCTAGTCCCAGATGTCACAACTTCTTAAGGCATCCTACGGTCACATTCGATTTCTTGGCTGCCATATTACTTCTATGGAGCAGTTAGTTTGCAATCTACTAAGCCCCAAGATCTTGTTCAGATGACCTTTCATCAGGTCACATGACTCCTATCTTATACTTATGAAGATTACCTATACATATATTTATATATGCATTATATTTACATATACATATATACATATAGTTATGCTATAACATTTCCATGATCTACCAGTTGAGTGTAGGTCTGTTTTAAAAAGATACAGGGCAAATCCAATGTGCCTTATTCCTGATGAAACCACTCCAGCTTTTATAATTATCTTTTTCATTTTCCATCTCTTTAATAATACATACAGAATCTTGTCCAGAATAAAAGTCATGTTCACCACCAGCCTACAGCTTACAGAATCAATTCTCTTTCCTGTTCTGAAAATTTAGACATTTGCCCTTCTCCAGTCCTACAGCACCTTTGCCTATACTCCATGATTATCATGGACACTGACAGTAGCCAACTATTCACATACCCTATTTTCTTGGGATCCTGGGATGTGATTAGTCCAGTTCTGACTTGAATCCATCAAGGACAGCAAACCACTGTGTTACTATTTCCCGACTTGTCTTGGGGATTCAACTCCCATTAGCCACTTTGTTCTGTCCTTTTCTGTGCAGAAATCATTCTCCTTGGGAAAGGAAAAAGGGACATCAAAGGGGATGACTGCCCATCCAACAAAATGAGAGTAGTTCACAAAACAAACATTGCACCCTGGGAAACCAAAGGGCTACAGGCTTTCTGAACCCAAGTGTAAAATGGCATTTATCTTCCTTATTTCATCTTACTTGCTTCAGCCTGATGTTACAGTCTGCTAAGTTTTTTGTGGATCCTGATCCACCTGAAAATATAATGAGTAAACTGTACATTCTCTGCTTTTCTCCAAGTCACTAAGAAAAACATAAAACAACCCAGGGCCAAAGCACAGATCCCTGGACTTTCCCACTGAAGATCTCCTGCCATGTTGACATTGATCAGTTGCCTAGTGCTGGACTCCCCGAGTTCCACCAGCTACCCCAACTTGAATCAATGTCATTGCACTACCATCTTTCCCATCTCTTTCTCTCTTTTCCACAAGGATGACATGAGATCCTTAATCAAATAGAGTTAAGAATAGAGACTGGATCTGTGACTAATTTCATTGCTACAAGAGACTCCCAGATGAGGAAACTCCCTTTATGAATGCAAATTGACACCTTCTCTAGGACTTGGAGTCTTAGAGAGCTGCTCAAGGCACTGAGAATTTCAGGCACTTGCCCAGGATGACACAAGTACATGTCATAGGTGGAACTAGAACCCAGCTCTTGCTGGCTGCCAGGTTAGCCCTCTATCCACTGTACCACATTGCCTCTCACTTAATCAAATGCTTTGCTAAAATCTAGAGCATTTCTTTGATCTACCAACCTAAGAACCATGTCTCAAAAAGGAAATAAAGTTAGTCTGGAATGACTTATTCTTAATGAAAACACAATGGCTCTTTGGGATCACTACTTGCTTTTCCAGAAATTCAGTGACCAACTCTTTACTAATATGTCCTAGAATTCTGTCAGGAGTCAAAGTCAAGTTTACTGGCCTATGGTTGACAGGCTCCACATACTTCCCTTTTCTGAAGATCAGGGTCTTCACCCTTGTCCAATCCAATGGTACTTCTCCCATTCTTTTTCTTTCAAATATCACTGTAAGTGGCTGAGCAATCAAACCCTCCAGTCCTCTCACCATCCAAAGTCCATCTTTGACTGATGACTTGAATTCCTCAAGGGTAGTCAGGTGATCTCTTACTACCTATCAGCTCACATCTTTTGGATATGAACTCCCTCTTGGCCATTTCTGTTTTATCTTTTCAAGGTCAAATGACATTCTCCTTGGCAGAGAAAACAGAATTATAATTACACAGTGCCACCTTCTCTTCAACTGGTTATCATCATCCCATTCACTCCCAAGCAGAAACAAGGACTAGATATGTGATTCCACTGATACAGGGAGCTTCTGGATAAGGCAAAACCCTCTACCAATGAAGATGGGAACTTTATCTGCAACCTATGGTCTTAGGGAGATGCCTAGAGGGCAGAAAGGCTAATTGCTGTGTCACGAGGACATTATCCATCAGAAGAGGGACTTTAACCCAGAACTTCCAGATTTCTCCAACAGCTCTCTATCCACTATGCCAGAGTGACTCTCTAAAATTAAAAAAAAAATAGAGAACTTTAAAGGTCACAGAATCATAGATCTACAGCTGAATGGAAACTTAGAGGCATCTCATCTGACTCCCTCATTTTCTACTAATAACCCCTCTGGCCATTTCCTCAACTTGTGCTCAAACTCATAGGCTGGCTGTCCAGAGGTGGTTGCTATTCTTGGGTAACCCTGTAGCGGCTATTCCTACTTCTGTAGCTCAGAAGCCCCCACAGGTGTGCTTCCTATTCACAAACTGTTTGTACACTTAATTAGCTTTTAGCAAAGACATTTACTTGGAACAGTTAATACAAAACATTTCCTCCACAAGCCTGAGTAACAGTCCTACAAATTCCTATGGAATGAGTACGCTCAAACTTAGAGTACAATGGTCATGAGTTGCACACGCAGAGAATAACTCACAAGTCCTGATTGAAGTCTCTTTGTAGAGCCTTCACGAATCATCTCTTCTGGTCAAGCCACTCTGCTGGGCTCCTTGGTCTACTCCTTTCTTGAGTTCATGACCAGCACACCTGTCTGCTACAAGGGGTCGTGCTCCTTTAAGCTGACTTCTCCCTCAGGTGACTGAATTTTCACATCTGTGAATTTTGTGTTTCCCATTGTGATTTTCTTCTCCCAGCTGCATTCATAGTCTCCTGCTGGTCATGATTTAGCATTGGGGAAGAAAAAGAAATGTCCCCTCCCCCTGCATGCTGCCCTCTAGTACAAGGAGAAGAGTTCTACCTTCACAAAGTGCTCCCCAGCCTGGACCCCACAACTGCTGACCAAGTGACTGTTCCTAAATATAGACCTAAGAGACATGAGTGATTTTTCTCAGACAATCACAAGATACTTCCTACGTGATATCAGTTGTTTTTTCCAATGACAGAGACCCCGTTATCTTCCCAAGTAGACCAAGTTCTTATTCACAACTTGTTGGGAATTGCAGTAAATTTCTTCACACCAGCTCACACTCTGTGATTTCATTGCAGGTCCTCCACAAATCGTATCACCTGAAATGGGCAGGGGAAATTCTCTCTCACTCCCAGGTGTGAGGAAACTGAGCCCCAGGATGGTTAAGTGTCCAAGCTTACAAGGCAAGCGATCTTCAGGCCTGGGACCTAAACACACATCCTTCCACTCTAAATTTCATCCTCTTTCCACACAAGTCAACTGCTTCTTATGTGGCACGGTTCCAAGACCCAGCTCTGCACTCCAAGAACCCAGGCTCAGATCCCACCTCAGGCTTCCTGCTTGTGTGACATTGGGCAAACCACTCACCCTTTCTGGGCTTCAGTTTTCCCCTCTGTAAAATCAAAAAGTTGGACTCAAACATATGGCCCAAAGATCGCATTCACTCCTGAGTGTGGCCCAATGAGATGAAAATGTAGTTGGGAAATATTTCATAAAATAAATAAAAATTCAATAGATCATCAATAATGTTAATATGTGTTTTTCTAATTCACCACATGCAGGCAGGGACCCTTATGTATGGTTTAGTGGCTTCCTATTTCTATCTGAGTTTAGACTACATAGCCCACAAAGTACCTTTTAGTTCTAGACCTCTGAAGGGAGGGAAGGGAATAAGCATTTAGTGCCTACTATGTGCCAGGCATTGTGTGAAGTGCTTTACAAATACCGTGTTATCTCATTTTATTGTCTCAACAGCCCTGAGAAAGAAGTACCATTATTATCCCCATTTTACAGCTGAGGAAACTGAGGCAAACAGAGGTTCAGTGACTTGCCCAGGGTCACACAGCTAGTTAGTGCAAGTGTCAAAGGCTGTATCTGAACTGAAGTCTTCCTGACCCCAAGCCTGGTGGTCCATCCATTGCACCACCCACCTGTGATTATGTGGTCTTGTGAAATTCATTTGTGATCCCACCAAAGTGGGCATGCACACACACACACACACACGCACGTACACACACGCGCGCACACACACACACACACATTTAAAAAAACTCTTCTTGAACAAATTATTTAATCACTATTTACAAGTCTTCTGTCACTCTTGTCGAAACACCAGAGGTTTTGCTCTGAAGCAATCTGCTCTTCTGGATGGCATCAGCAGTGAGTCAGGAATGAAATCAGATGATTATGGCTTTCTCCCAGTGCATCTCACAGCTACCGAAGTCATAGCGTTGCATGGTTCCCAGACTCGTGTCCAAACACTTACACATGGGCCATGTGTGCAGACACTGACTCACCCTGTTAGCATTAAATGTCAAGTTTGAAGGGGCGGATTGCAGATGCCAATGCGGCGGCTCGTCCCCATCCTCTGCCAGTTACGGGGCACATGGAAGAGAACAGCTCTTTCAGTTGGTTGTTGGCTCATCATAGGGACCCACAACCCAGAAAGGGGCTGAGGCACCTTGGAAGGGAAGAAACACAGCTGGCTGCAGGAAATTCTGCTTCCTGTTATGCCCAAAGTAGCGGATCCTGTAGAGGCCCAGTGGGGTGGTGCCCGCAATGTGCCATTCGATCGTCACATTGCTCTGACCAGAGGATCCTTTATGCCAGTAAAATCTGATGTCAAAAAGAAAAAGAAAACCTTTTTATCTTAATGAAATGAAGTATTTTTAGAAAGTCTGAAAGAAGGAATGATGTCCAGGTGAGAATCCTCCTCCCCAGGAGGAACAAATAAGGAAGGTGTCTGTACCTCAGAGTCCTGGTAAATTGCCCAGGACAACTAGAGCTTAAATAATTTGCTTACAGTCACAAAGGGTGAAGAGGGAGAAAGAGCCTACTATGTGTCAGGCACTTTTCTATGTGCTTTACAAATATTATCTCATTTGCTCTTCATAATAGTCATGGGAGGTAGGTGTTATTATTATCTCTATTTTATTGTTGAGGAAACTGAGGCAAACAGGTTAAGTGATTTGCCCAAGGTCATAAAGTTAGTACATTGCCTGAGTGGAATTTGAACTCAGTTCTTCCACTCTATCCACTGGGCCACTGCCTAACTGCCTCGAGACAGCACGAGCTCACAACAGTGGATGAACCCCAGGCTTCCCGATTCCACCGTGCATCCTCTGTGAATTCTGCTGGGCTGCCTCTCAACATACTTAATCTGTTCTTATTCAAGTTTCACCTGAAGTTTTCAGAGAACAGGACTATGCCTTGTATGACCCTCAGGGCCTGGAGCATAGTAGGTACAAAGTCAATATCTGGTGTCAGGGAGAGGAAGAGGAGGATGAAGCATAGATCACATATCCCCGTTGTTATCTGTTATCTCATTTTCCCATTTCACAAACGAACCTCCCACCTCCAGAAGTCCCAGGGACCAGAAGATCCCTGTTCTCCTAGCGACAGAGAACAACTGAAGTTCTCTCTGCAGGAGAATTATAGGGTCACACCTGGTTCTTAGGAAGATGCTCTGGGCAGCTGTGTGGAAGCTGGATTGCAGAGGGCAGAGACTGCTCTTTAAACAAGTGAACTCACTAACTAAGCTTACACCTAGTTTTGTAGAAAGTGACAAACAAAACATCTCAATACCTCAAGGCAGCTCAATGGGTCAGAAGACCTGAGTTCAAATCCTGCCTCAGATACTTTCTACCTGTATGGTCCTGGGAAAATCCCTTAATCTCAGTTTCCCCATCTATAGAATGGAGATGATTATAGCATTTCCTCCCAAGGTTGTTGTGAGGACAAAACGAAGTCAAATTTGTTAAGTATTTTGACAACCTTAAAGTGCTACATAAATGCTAGTCGTAATAGTTATTTTTATTCCTTCTACCAACCTAGACTATAACCCTCCATTAACTAGTAAAATCATAGACTTAGCATTGGAAGGGATTGTGTAGTCCAACCCTGTGAAATGGGGAGTGGGTTGGGGGTTGTGCTCAATGATCCCTAAGCTCTCTTATAGATCTAAATCTCAGATCCTATGAACCCCCTCATCTTACATATGAGGAAACTGAGGACTTATCCAAGGTCACACAGATAGTGGGTAGCAAAGCCAGGCTTTGAATCTGGATCCCTTGGGTCTTTAAGAATTGTATACAATGATGTCAATGAAAAGAATAAAAACATCAAAATTGACCTTGAAAGCTGAGAAATTATAACCACCAAGTTTGGTCCCAAAGAAGAGATGGAAAAATGCACCTTCTTCCCTACTTTGTAGAAGCAGGGGCTGTGGGTGTAGAACACAGCATATGATGGCAACAATGTTTTGCTGGGGTTTTTCCTCATTTTTATTCTTTATTAAAGAGGATAGCTCCCAGGGGGAAAGGAGGAGGAGGGGAGAGGAATCCATTGGAAATATAGAAACAAAAGACATCAATAAAAATTATTTTAAATAGTTGCTATATAAAATGTTGTAAATAGAAAAAGCAACAGCAAAAAACTCTGATTGCTATGTAATTACAACGACCAAGCTTGACCCCAAAGAAGAGAGAGCAGAATTCCCTCCCTCCTACCCTTCTTTGCAGAGATGGGACAATATGGACAATTAGAATCCCATAGAGGATGTGGTTCACGAGTTGCTTAGTTTTGCTGAATTGTTAGAGATTTCTTTTCTTCTCTTTTTTTATTCTTTGCTATAAGGGATTGGAGGCATGGGAAAGTATATAAAATGAAAATGATGTAAAAACTAAAGATGTCAATAAAAATTCTGCAGATCATTTGTTTTGGCCCCAAAATTTACCACCACCATGCCCCGTCCCTAGCAGCCATCCTGGCATGATCCCCTCTGAATTTAGGCAATGTGGCAGGCACAGGGTCCATCATCAGAGTCAGGTGAAGCCTGTCAGAGCATGTGCCCTCTGCCGGAATGACCTCCAAGAAACCAGGGTCACCCCTGGACCAAGGTGAGACAAAGTAGAAAAAACCAATGTATCCATAGGACAATTGGCAAACCCAATGCTATCCATTCAGCACCACATAGCCAATGGGTCTTGCCCATTTCTCTCCCATATCCAGGCTTCAGGAACCAACCCTTTTCAAGGTTGAGGAGACAGGACAGAGTGGCTCACCTGGTATCCCATGAGGCATCATTATGCACTATCTGCCACATCGCTGAAGTGTTCTCATACTTCTCAACTGTCAGGAAAGTATGATCTGTCTAGAATATAAATAAGTTATCCAGTTGGACACTGAAAATACCCAGAGTGCCACTGACCCTAACCTGGGAAGAGGGGGTTATGGATAGGAAATACAGAAGCCGATAGAAGGAGACCACAGAAACAGGCAAGAGGGGGGGTGGGGAAGAGGACACCATGAGTGGGGTAGGGTAGTCCCTTGGCTGCTGGAAGTACTGAGTCACAACTGTGAGGTTGATGCCAGCCCAAACTATATCTGGGGCAAATCAGTCACAGAGGATCCAGTTTGGGTAGACAGAGGGCCCAGTGGCTTTCTTTCCCCTTCTCACTTCCCTTTTCTCCAAAGAAGGTCCAACATTTGTTAGGCCATTTACTCACATTCACCTCCTCCCTTCCCTCTGGGCTTGGGTTGTTTTTCAGGTTACTTGGTGTTTCTTAAGCCATTGAACAGGACAACGCTTTTGATTAGCAGAAGTATTAAACTGTGTGTTATATTCCATTTAATGGTTACAAATTGAGAGGGAAAAGAGAGGATTCCTTTTTCCAGAAACAAAATATTTGATTTAGACTGAACCTGGGGGCAGGACAGCTCATTTAAAACAGCTGGACAGCACAGGACACTAATGTTGAACTGTGACAAACCTGGTAATGAACTTGGGATTCCTGTGCCCTTAGAGGTTTTCCAAAGCAAGGCAGACCCCAAAGGGGGGGGGGTGACTTGGAAAGGAAAAGCCCCTGAAGAGTAGTGAGCTGACCGCAGGATGGAAGGGAAGTAAGGTCCACTAGCTCAGTGGATAATTAGCAGGGCAACCTGCCCAGCTCTTCAGTACTATCTGCTGTTCAGATTTGCTATATTTTGGACTTTCTTGTGCACACGTCTCCTCAAATAGAATACAAGTTCCTTAAAGGGAATCTGTTATGCATCTGTATCCCCAGTGCCTCATTCAATGCCTAGTACATAGTAAGTACTTAATAAATGCTTATGCAATTGAATTGAATCAAGTTGAACGTGCCTGGGACTTGAATAGGTTTGGGAGGAATCCAAGAGCTCTGCTTTTTGCTGACTTGGCTGAGGACCAGGGCATAGGGCAACCAGGTGGCTCAGTGGGTAGCTCACTGGACTTAAAGTCAGAAAGATCTGAGTTTGAAACCTGCCTCAAACACTTCCCAGCTGTGCAACCCTGGGAAGGACCTCTCTGTGCTTCAGTTTCCTCAAATGCAAAATGGAGATCATAATAGCACCTAACCTCACAGGGTTGTTGCGGGGACCAATGATTTAGCATATACAACCTGCTTTGTAAAACTTAAAGTACTATATAAATGCGTAATTGTCACTATAATTATTATTATTATTATTATTAGTGAGGCAGAGGCTTAATTAGCTGAGAACCCTGTGTTAGGACACTAGGTTCAGGAACCCAAGAGGCCTCTCTTCACCCCTGTCCACTTTTCCAGAAGCATAATTAGTTCCATAAATGCAAATGACCATGCAAATCATTTACCTGGAGGCGTCAGAGGCTCCTGAAGGAAAAGAAAAATGTTTTCATGGCTAGCCTTTCAACTTCAGGCACTGCCGTTTCTCCGTGGCAATGACAGAGAACATATTTCCCTGGCTGCCTGGTTCCCATGGATATCAAATAGGCTGATTAATCATATCCTTTCCAAAGAGCCCTTTGATATCCTCCAGAAAATAGTTATATAAAAATGCAAATTGTATCAAGCATCATTAGGCATGGCTCTTACTTGCTTTTTTAAAAAACGAATTTCTAAGAAGTCCAAAATCCCCCACAGGGCCAAATCTAGACCAGCAAATGCTATACAAGAATGACATTGTTGTGACTGGTCAGAGACAGGAGTGGGGGCTCAACATGGGGTGGGGGGCACGTTGTAAAGCAAGAATGTCCACCAGCAAAAAAGGCAGACTGACAAATGACATGGAGCCTGTCCAGCAGAAAGAAGACTTCTTCAGGGCAGTGAGACCTAGGGGTCCCAGATTAAACCAAGGTCACATAGAGCCCAGGATAGTAATGATGCTACAAATAGCATCGCTTTTGAATAAAGTTTAGAGGCGTCTAGACTGGTGATGAGATGGGTGTAGGGAGCTTCTTGTGTGGATGCTCCCAACACCAATGGCCATTGACAAGTCCTGGGTCACTCAGAGATCATGGAGAGGTCCAGTGACTACTTGCTCAGGGTCACGCAGCTTGTATCTAAATCCTAGACAGGATCTAAATCTAAGTCTTTCTGACTCCAAGGTTAGCTCTTAATTCAGTAAGCCTCTCTGTCAAGCCTTTGGAAATAGAAACCAAGTATAGACATTTATTCAAAGGACCAGCAGGATACCATGGAGAAGTGAGGACTGGCCTTGGAATCAGGAAGAGTGAGTTTGACCCTTCCTGGCTGTGTGACCTTGGGCAAGTCACTAACCTCTCATGCACCAAACAGTGCTCTGAGACTCTGAGTGACTGGAGAGGTGCCAGTTTCCAATGGTGAAGAAAGCTTTCACAATGGAAATTGCCTAATGCCAACAAAACCACAGGTTTAGACATATGTATGTGTGTATATGTGTATATGTACATATACACGTGTGTGTGCATGTGTACATGTGTGTTGTATTATGTGTGTGCGTGTGTGTATATGTGTGCATATATTTGAATATATATGAAAGGCAGTTGGGCCTAGCAGATAGGAAGCAGGCTGTTGAGTCGGCCCTCAGTCCTGCCTCTGACATGTGTTGGCTATGTGACCTTGGAAAGTCAGCTACCTGCTCAGTATTTTAGGGAGCTGTCTAAGATTTTCAGCTGTAGAGCAGGTACTGATCTACATTGACAAACAGAGTCCCCTCGCCTGGGATTCTCTATACAAATGACCCACCCCAAAATGTGCATATGCATGCCTGGTATGCATACATGGCATACATGTATGTGCTTATGTGTGGGTCTGGTATGTCTATATATGTACATGTGTGATATGTAAGTGTAAGCTCCTTGAGGGCAGGGACTGTCTTTTGTATCCCTAGCTCTTAACACAGTGTCTGGAACACAGCAGGCACTTAATAAACATTTATTGATTGATATCGCATGTTCATGTGTGGATGTATGAGATCCATGTTTACATGTATACCCTCCATAAACATTGTTTTAGCCAGATCAGTGGTTTCATTGATGTGGGAAACTCTATGTGTAAGCACGTGCATTTGCATATCTCTATATGTATTTGATGTATGTCTGTACAGGAAGGGGGTGGAGAGAGAGAAGAGGAGAAGAAATGAGAGGGGAGGGGAGGAGAGGAAGAGGAGGAGGAGGAAGAAGAGAGAGAGAGAAAGAGTGCACATCATACCAGGGTGAGTTTTTATGTGTAGACAAAGTAGACTGTTACCTACCTGATTGGATTTCAGAGGCACTGAAATCTCACCACCATATTCCCTCAACCAAAAATATTTGCCCCTGCAGTCCTCCATTGAGGCTAAAATAACCAGGGTGCGTGTGAGTGCTCCCACAGCTCAGCTGTGGCAAGCTTTTGAAGGAGATCACCTCCTTCATCGTTGGGGGCTTTCCTCAGCATTCACACACACAAGATGAGCAGACTTGGAAGACTGGAGGTCAAGGACATGAGACTTCATCCCAGACCAATGACTACCATCGTAGGGGACTGTGAGTTGTCAGGAGACGTGTCTGGACACTGGGTGCTCCTGGGTTTGGGGAGGGGGCCGGAACGTGCAGGGAGGGAGTGTGAGGCACCCAGAGAAACAGTGCGGGAGTGCTAACTCCAGTTTTCCTTCAGACCACCTCTGTGTAGTATTAGAATAATTCTCACCAGGTTTTCTGCTGAATTCTTCGGGTTAGCACCAACAAACATGACCTCAGCAACCTCGCCCTGAAGAAAATGGAAGTTATCTGGTGAGATATGATGAGGATATTTTTTAAAAACAGTTAGTCTCTATATAGCGCTTTAGGTTTGTGAAGTACTATACACACACACACACACACACACACACATATAATTCAGCCTCATATAACAACTCTGGGAGGTAGGTGCAATTATGATCCCTATTTTACAGATGAGGAAACTGAGGCAGAAAGAGGTTAAAGTGACTTGCTCAGGATCACGCAGTACATCTTCCTAACCCCGAGTGCAGTACTCTATCATCTGCAGTCTATACTGCATGGGGAGCTCCGCTGTTAGCTTTGTCCTCACATCTATTATGCTCGGTAACTTCCTCAGGTAACTCTGAGGCTGGGCAGAATAAGCATGACGTCATTGACTGAAGCCTTCTTCCTTTCCTCCCTCTCCTCTCCTGTTTCATCCCAATTGTTTCTCCCAATGTTCCCCATGCACCCTCACACAGCTGCCACGCTGGCTAAGGCCTCCATCGCCTCTCACCTGGGCTATCCGTGAGCCGTCTGGTGCGTCTCTGACTCATCTCTCCCCTCCCACCCCATCCCGAAGTCACTGGCTCCCGCACGGCTCATCATCCCCCTCCTCAATAATTTCCAGTGGCTCCTTCTTGCCTCCAGGATCAAACAGAAACCCTCAGTTTGGCATTTAAAGCCTTCCCAACCCTAGCGGCCTTCTTACTCTTTATCCTCCTCCTCACACTCTGCTTTCCAGCCATCTCCCCACTGCTCTACACACAAGATGACGCCGTGTCTCCCATCTCCAAGCCTTTGCACTGCCTGACCCCCATGCCTGGAATGCCCCGCCTCCTCATTTCCACCTCTTAGAAAACTTGCTTCCCTTTCAAGACTCAGATGAAGCACCACCTTCTTCAGCATGTCTCCAGCCACTTGGACTCCAGACTACCCGGGATTCATTTGTATGCAATTGGTGGAGCCTCTGTGAGTACACGCTGTCTACCCCCATTGAAATGTAAGCCCCTTGAGGGTACGGAGCAGTTCATGTCTATGTGTGTATCCCGCGCTCCTATAGCACAGTGCCTGGTATGCAGAAGGCTGTAACGAATGCTTGATTCCACCTCGATTCTTGAAAGTATGAGCTTTCATCAGTGGGTGTAGTCCCTCTACTAATGCAGGCAGCAGCCCCTGTATGGTTTGATCATCTTTAAGAGCTCTTACGTCACAGGTCTAGACAAACCAAGTCTGTCCAAACAAAGTCCATCGCCTAGTGGTGATGGCCAACCTGATGATAAGAGTCACTTAACTGCTGCTGCCTCAGTTTCCTCCTTTGTCAAATAGGGACAATAGCAGTACCTACTCCCCTCCCCAGGCCTGCTGTGAGGATCAAATGAGGTATTTGTGAAATACTCTGCCAACCTTAAAATGCCATCCATGTGTTAACTATCACCATTAGCATTCTTCCCTAAAGCTCACAAAGTACTTTTAAGCCTCTATTGTGTGTCCTTTACTTGAGTCTGAAGACAGCCCTGTGAGGATGGTACTTCATACATCATCACCCCTCCCCATTCTACCGACAGAAAAATAGCTACAGAGACATCAAGTCATTTACCCAGGGTCACACAAAAGCCTTGTGAAGTTAGTGCCACAGATCTTGTCACCACCATTTTACCTAGGGGGGAGCGGAGTTAGGCAGCAAGATTTATTAAATACCTACTATGTGCCAAGCACTGTGCTAAGTGATAGGGATATAAAGAAAGGCAAAAATCGTCCCTGCCCTCAAGGAGCTGACAATCTAATAAAAGAGACAACATGTAAATAACAAAATACAAATAATAGGTATAGAAGTATATGTATATATATATATATAAATATGTGTCTATACCTTGTTTTATATAGTCTGTATCTTGATACATAGGTATATATAATGCATGTATAATAAGGTACAATGTATGTATACATATATAAATGGAGAATGAACCTTGTTATTGATAAGATATATACATATATATGGTATATAAATATTCCTTATTTACAAGGTTACATTATATATACAAATATGCATACATACATACACACACATGTGCATGCACACATGTAAGGTTGATGATGGTAATCTGGGAGGGGAAAGCACCACCAGCGAAGGCATACTATAGAAAGTGGAATTTGAGCTGAGGGAAGCTTCCAGCAAAGGGAAAGAGACAGAGTGCTCTGGGCAGAGGATAGGTGGAGGAGACATCTGAAGCACCTTCCTCTTGATCCCATAGCTAATAAATGTTGGAGGCCAAATTGAAACCCAGCCTCCTAACTCCAAGGGCAGCATTCTTACCACCACCGCCTCTCAAAAACAAAAGATTTTAAATGAACAGTTGGAAGAGTTCAAAAACATCATCTCCAGTAGCCCCATCTCTATTGATCGCTTCTTGAGAGAAGACTTGATAGCCAAAATGGTGGCCGCCAAGAGCAGGCATGGACACGATGCCATTGAAGAGAGGGGAAATGAAACATTAGACATGCACAAAAGTTCAGAAATCAAGTGTCTCAAAGGTTCTTACTCTTTGGTACTCTGGCTTGGCTGGATGTAGCACGTCCCCAAACGTCGTGTTCTCTGGGGTTCTATCAACTTGATTGGAGGTCAAGGGCAGCATCAGCTGGCTAAAAAAGGGTGGCTCTGGCCCCCGGCTTAAATTTGCCACCGTGTCCTGCAGTAGAGAGAATCTGCTTATTTTGGAAATCCAATGCATGAACACTCACTGAGAGGCCCCCTATTTGTAGAAAGTCTCCCCCGATTCCTGCCCCGCATTGTTGATTTTGTGATTAAAAGGGAGGCTTTCTGAAATTTGAACTGGGGGTCTGTTCTTCTAAACATAAGTCTTCTCCAAACGACCAGTAGCATATACAAGATAATGAGGCTGGAGGAAGTGACCTGCCCAGGGTCACTCAGCTAATAAGTGTCTGAGACAGGATTTGGCCTCAGTCTTCCTGACTCCAAGTTCATGCTCCCTCTCAGAAATGGTAATCTCTCAATTATCTGACATTGCTGAGCAAGAAGGCATTTCACATAAGCAAAGCATAATCCCTTGTAAAAACCCTTCTGCTGCCAACATAAATGTGTCCCACACTTTCTGGGCACAGGAGAAGGTATCCTGTCATTGATGGCTCGGGGCAGTCATCTTAAAGGTTCCTTGCTGTACTATGTCACAGGAACACCCCTGAGGCTGTTGAAGGATGGGGCTCCTTGTCCCTGTATTTTAATGGATCTGTGGGTTTTCAAGTCTGTGTCTGCCTTTGGTCTGCTCCTTGTTGGAGGCAGCTGGTGCTATGACTCTACCTCTCAAAGTGTACCCCAACCCCTTCTCCTTCCAACTCTGAGTTTCTATGATTCTGCCATTATAACTTAAGGGTAGCTGAATCCTTCAAATCATCCAACTCCCCATGTTCACCAAGCAGATTTCCATTATGAATCTGCTTTTCCATGAGAATTTCCTTGTTAGGGAGAAAATATACTGGCTGTCTAGCTCAGGTCTCCTGAGCAGTCACATTTTTCAATACAAATTAATTAACTAGTATACTAGGTTTATAACTCTAGTGAGTTTGATTAGCATGACTCAGTTTCCCAGGACCTAATCAATGGGTTTATTAGTAAAACCCAAATTCCTCAAATCACAAGACCAAAGGTTGTCAAGGTCTTGTCACCCTGAAAGTCCCCACTTCAGCAAGCAGTTCACTTTCTCCTTCATCCTGCATTTAACTACAATACTGTGGAAAGCCAAGACATTTTATTATCTGGATGAACCTTACTCTGCAAAACAGATACCTAAGTTCCTGTGAAGGAGAGCCCCAAAACAAATCTACTCAAATCAAATCGTGCTTTCTCATTTACTCTCAATACTGTGTGGATGTTATTGGCTCAAAATTTAATAAAAATAATATTTAAGAATGCATCATGCCTTAAGTGTACTGAAATTATATATTTAATTGGAAAGAAATTTGTGAAATATGGTAATTATAAAACAAATTTTACAGGTTATGTTTTGAAGTGAAAATTAAAAGGTCATACTAGAAACTACATTCCCTATGGATGTTGTTCCCACCACCCCCACCACAAGAGCTCCTTGAGGGCAGAGACTTTTTTGCTTCTCTCTGCATTTCCAGTAGTTAGCACAGTGGCTGGCACATGGGAGGTGCTTAATAACTATTTATGGGTTGATTAATTGAAATATGCCTAATGTGTTACCTGGACCTTTAAACTCAGTCCTTGGTATCCTTCTACTCCAAGATTAAAATGTTCTTTGAAAACCCTAAGCTAATTTTGTGTATGTTTGTATAAATTTTTATGTGTACATGTTCTCCCCTTGTAGAATATAAGTTCCCTGAGAGCAGGGATTGGTTCATTTTTTGTCTTTGTATCCCCAGCACTTAGAACATAGTAGATACTTAATAAAAGCATGTGGCGGGATGGATGGATGGTTCGATGGATGGGCTGATTGAGTGGTTTATCTTTGGGATACTTCTTCATTGTTTCACAACTTCTGTTGGGGCTATGGGCTCCTCTAGATGGCTTTAGTCTCCTAAGTTCTGCAAGTTCAGGGCTATTTCCCTAAATAGCCACAATTATTGGTAGTGATCCATGTTGGGGTGGTAAGGGCACTCAAGATAGAATGAGGTGAGATCAGTGTTTGAATCTTGCCTCCAATATTTACTGGAGAGACACTGGTTAGAGTTAACATTAGATATGGGTCTGAAATGGAGAATGATGTTATTAGTTTCAGCAATGTAAGGAGTCTGATAGAAAATGGGGATTAGATATGGAATTATATATTGGTCCAATAGGTTAGAGACCTATTGGATCATAGTTGATTCACTTAACTTCTCTAAGACTCAATTTCTTCATATGCAAAATGGAGATAATAGTACCAACATTACCTGTCTCACAGGCTCCTTGAAACTCAAGTGAGATAATGTTATGTAAAGCATTTTGCAAAATTGTGGTGTTACAATAATTGCTGGTTACTAGTAATATTATCATTATTATTACCAGGGTCATTACTATAATTAGTTATTTGCATTAGGAAAGATTTTTCACAATTTGAGTTTCCTTAAGCAGATGTACTTGTCCATATGTATTTGTTAGATAAGTGGATAGTTATTTATCGTAATGGTGAACATATATGTGTGTGTGTATGTATGAATGTATGTCAGCTAAACTCTTGTGAAATTGTCTATTTTGACACTTATGATAAACTCTTTTGCTGATTTTTCATAGGGAGATGAATCTCTTTTGAGATGATCCCTCTATTAAAGTGAGGCCAATACTTTAACCACTTCCAAACTATAGAAGGGAAATTCACACAAAATGAGGGCTCCAAGTCACTGGTCCCTCCATTATACCACAATATCCACTGAAGCCCTTTGAATGTATAAGTTACAAGGTGTTTGTTTAATGGGGGAAAAAAATCGGCCTCCTTATTTCAGAGTCCCATCCACCTCAAAGATGTGTAACTTTTATGAGAGAAATAATGACACGAAAACAATTGAATACATAAATGAAAACCCATGCAGCCCTCCTTCTTTCTCTCTACACATATGCAAACACCAGCATTACCGTGGCAATGGCCCTGGCGAGACCTCTGAACAGTTGAATATAGGCGGAGAGAGTATGGGGACCGTAAATCGTGGACGCTGCCTCATAGCGCTGAACCTGCGGAAAGAGGACAAAGGCATCTGTAACCCCAAACATCAGCGTTCATCCACACAGTCCCATGGGCGTGTGAATGCGAAAAGAACTTTGAGGCAACTGGTGCTTCCAGGCTCACCTGGTATTCTTCATAGGTCGCGATGTAATGCGTATAAACATTGCAGAGTCCAGCAATCACCACAGTCATGTTCTGCCTCCCACTCGTTTCAAATTCCTGGGCGTCAGGAGAGGGAGTACAAAAGAGAGAAGAACATAATCAAAGTACATCTCGGGGCAAAATCCAGTCACAGGATGGGCATTCATCATTCTAGTCTTGCTAAGTACCTTGTCCTCATCATTAATCAACTCCTCAAATATTCCAAGTTAAAAGTTCTTGAAGTGACCCCAACTCTCCTATAACACACAGGGGACTGAGTGATTTCAATTAAAAATTAGTGCCTTAAGAAGCTCAGGTGGAATGCTCCCGTAACTGAGAATTTTAACTTCTGTGTTGTAATGTGTGAAGTTTTTAAAATAAACATTTGATTTAAAAAATAAACACCTTGTATCTTGTTGGTTGGTTGTCTTTCATGCTCAAAGGGGACCAAAATGACACCATTATGTTGGAGTCAAGGTACAGAGTGCCCAGCTGTGGCTGATGAGACTAACACAAGCTCAGAAGGCTCTACCACAGGTCAGGCACAAAGAGTCCATGTGAACATTTGGGGTGGATCCTCTAAATTTGCACATCTCCTGTCTCTTTTGAGATACTGCAGTTAAGCTTCACACTATTTAAGGTTAAGATTTTCTTAAAGTTTCTCTGAAAGAAAACAGTCATAGTCATAGCTAACATTTCCATAGCACTGTAAGGGACCTCACTCAGCAAGCATTTATTTATCAAGTACCTACTATGTGTCAGGCCCTGTGCTGAGTGCTGGGGATACAAAGAAAGTCAAAAGTCAAAACCTGATCTGGAGCCGCCTCACAGCCTAATGTAAGGTTTACAAAGCCCTTTCCCCATAAACAGCCCTAATAAAGTGAGATCAATTATTTCACCATTTTCAACTGGATTGTAGAACAGAAATTTACACAAAATGAGTATCCCAAATTCACTGGTCTTTCTGTTACACCACAATGCATCCCTTTTGAATGTACGTTATAGGGTGCTTATTTAAGAAAAAAAAGTCAGTCTCATCTTAGACAGGGCTTTCTACCACCAATGCTTACTAACTGTGAGACCCTGGATATGTCATTTAATCTCTCAGTGACTGCTTCCTAGTCACATACATCTTGAAATCTGTTCCCTCACTGAGAGATCCCCAAATCACAATCATTTGTGTGGATTTTAAAAATTAAAATGCAGTCAAGGCTACTGAAGGCCAGCTAAAATCTTCATTGTGTCTTCAGTTTCCTAGTTTTTATTTCTCCTTAATACTTACTGCTAACTAATACCCTTAAGATAGATAGGGTATCCCATGATGTTAAGCAAGATAATAAGAGAGGCACCAAGATAGAGAGATCTGGAATTCTTGATAATTGGAGACAATGATTAAAACGTCAAGGATTTTAGCTTTTCACTTACCTTTTGAATGGCCTCGCGAAGTCGCCTTCCAGACATTGTACTGAGCCAGAGAAAGAGACGTTTGAAATCAAAGGAAGGTATTTTAAGAATTGAAAAGTACAAAACCAGGCCTCAATGTTGACCTATTTCAACAGTTTTAACATCCAAAAACCTCCCTCCTTTCCCCACTCCTACATGGAGCTACTGCTATGAATCACTACCTTTCTCTACTACTGCTGATACCTTTCCTACTAAGGCTTCCTTCAATGTCCCCTGTATTTATATTTTATGTGCTGAGATATATATATGTGTGTGTGTGTGTGTGTGTGTGTGTGTGTGTATACACATACACACACACATATGTATATATACACATACACACACAGAGACATATATATGCTGTCTGCCCCATTAAAATGTAAACTTCTTGGTAAAACGGACAGTTTTGATTACATAATTTTTTTTTAAATTACACAAATAAAATCAATGCAGCTAAAATTAGAAGAGAAGTAGGAAATTATGGTGGGGGGATCTTTACGGCAAGTTACACTGATAAAGAACTCATTTCTAAGATATATAGAGAACCGAATCAAATTTATAAAAATAAGAGCCATTCCCAATTGATAAATAGCCAAAGGATATGAATAGGAAGTTTTCAGAGAAAGAAATCCAAGCTATCAATAGCCATATGAAAAAAAATGCTCCAAAGCTCTAATAATTAGAGAAACGCAAAGAAAAACAACGATGAGGTATGACCTCATACCCATAAGATTAGCTAAATTGACACAAAAGGAAAATGACAAATGCTGGAGGGACCATGGAAAAATAGGTTCTTTAATACAATCTTGGTGGAACTATGAACTGGTTAGACCAACCTAGAAAGCAATTTAGAACTATGCCCAAAAAAACTATTCAAATATGTATACCCTTTGACCCAGCAATCTAGGTCCCCTGAACCTCTACTACGTCTGTATACCAAAGAGATTAAAGAAGAATGAAAATGACCCATATGTACAAAAATATTTATAGCAGCTCTTTTTGTGGTGGCAAGAATTTAAAAAATGAGGGGGTGCCCATTAATTGGAGAATGGATGGATAGGTTGTTTGCTGTTCAGTCATTTCAGTCATGTCTGTCTCTTCATGACCCCATTTGGGGTTTTCTTGGCAAAGATGCTAGTGATTTGCCATTTCTTTCTTCAGCTCATTTTACAGATGAGGAAACTAAGGCAAGCAGGGTGAAGTGACTTGCCCAGCTGGTCTAAGGCCAGATTTCAACTTATGAAGATGAGTCTTCCTGATTCCAGGCCCAGCACTCTATCCACTGCACCACCTAGCTGTCCCAATCAAGTTATAGCATATGAATTTGATGGAATACTAAGAAATGATGGGCAGGATGGTTTCAGAAAAATGTGGGAAGACTTGTATGAACTGATGCAAAGTGAAGTGAGTAGAGCCAAGAGAACAATTTATAAAATAACAACAATATTGATAATAAACTTTTAAAAAATTAATGAGTTTTGTTTTTCTTGCCTTCTCAATGGGGGAGGGAAGAGAGAGGTAGAGAGCTCAGACTAAAAATAAAATAGGGGGTGGAACCAAGATGGTGGAGGGAAAGCAGTGACTATCTTGAGCTCTCTCCCAAAGCCCTACAAATACCTAAAAAAATGGCTCTAAACAAATTCTAAAGCAGCCGAACCCACACAAAGACAGAGTGAAACAAATTTTCAGTCAAAGACAGCCTGGATGGTTGATCAGAAAGGTATATCGCGCTGGGTGGGGAGAGGAGCTCAGTTCGGTGTGGGCGCACAGGCCGCAGTGACCCTGGAGCAGGCCTCAGAGGACTAATTGCAGGCAGCTGTGGTGGTTTCCAGACTTCTCAACCCAGGAACACCAAAGACAACGTGGAAGGTCAGTGGGAAAAGTCTGTGACTACGGTGAGAGAGGAGCTAGGTCTCAGCCACAAAGTGTGGCCCGGAGCCACAGCTTTTTTCTGAGCTTCCGGCACACAGACTGAGGGGGAATTGAGTGGCTGATCAGAGGGGCATTGCAGGGATCTCTTTGCTGAGGCAGGAATCTCTTGCTTTTCCAGTGCTTGGATCTGGGTCACAGTTCTGAGGCGCGGTCCTGGGGCAAGAAGGAGCACTGGTGCAGAGGAGCTTGTTGTGGCTGTGGAGAGGAAACACCTCACCCCTTATCATAGAACCTTGGAAGAACTGAAAATTTACAGGTCCCTAGAAGTACCTCTGCAAACAGCTGTACAAACCCCCAAAGCTTGGGACAGTACACTCTTCACATTGGAAGCAGACTTTTACCTTAACAAAGAGTTTAAAACTCAAGTAATTGGCCAGGATCATGAGTAAGCAGCACAAAAAGAGTCAGACTATATTATAGTACTTTGGTGACAAAGAAGATCAAAACATACAACAAAAAGAAGACAACAAAGTCAAAGCTCCTACATCCAAAGCCTCCAAGAAAAATATGAATCAGTCCCAGGCCTTGGAAGAGCTCAAAAGGGATTTTGAGAAGCAAGTAAGACAAGCAGAGGAAAAACTGAGAGTGATGTAAGAAAATAATGAAAAACAAGTTAACAGCTTGCTAAAGGAGACCCAAAAAAAACTGAAGAAAATAACACCTTAAAAAATAGCCTAACCCAAATGGCAAAAGAGGTCCAAAAAGCCAATGAGGAGAAGAATGCCCTAAAAAGCAAAATTGGACAAATGGAAAAAGAAGTCCAAAAGATTACTAAAGAAAATACTTCCTTAAAAATTAGAACAGAACAATTGGAAGCTAGTGACTTTAAAAGAAATCAGGACACTGTGAAACAAATCCAAAAGAATGAAAAATTAGAAAACAATGTGAAATATCTCATTGGGAAAACAACTGACCTGGAAAATAGATCCAGGAGAGAGAATGTGAAAATTATGGGACTATCTGAAAGCCATGATCAAAAAAAAAGAGCCTAGACATCATCTTTCAAGAAATGATCAAGGAAAACTGTCCTGATATTTTAGAACCAGAGGGCAAAATAGAAATTGAAACACTCCACCAATCTCCTCCTGAAAGAGATCCCCAAAGGAAAACTCCTAGGAATATTGTAGCCAAATTCCAGAGTTCCCAGTTCAAGGAGAAAATATTACAAGCAGCCAGAAAGAAACAATTCAAGTATTGTGGAAACACAATCAGGATAACACAAGATTTAGCTGCTTCTACATTAAGGGACCACAGGGCATGGAATATAATATTCCGGAGGTCAAAGGAGATAGGATTACAACCAAGAATCACCTACCCAGCAAAACTGAGTATAATCCTTCAGGGGAAAAAATGGTCATTCAGTGAAATAGAGGACTTTCAAGCATTCTTGATGAAAAGACCAGAGTTGAATAGAAAATTTGATTTTCAAATACAAGACTCGAGTGAAACATGAAAAGGTAAACAGGAAAGAGAAAATCATAAGAGACTTATTAAAGTTGAACTGTTTACATTCCTGCATGGAAAGATGATATTTGTAACTCATGAGACCTTTGTCAGTATTAGGGTAGTTGGAGGAGAAAAAATTATATGTACATATATATAGATATAGATAGATAGAGGACACAGGGTGAGTTGAAAATGAAGGGGTCATATCTGGAGAATAAAATTAAGGGGTGAGAGAGAAATATGCTAGGAGGAGAAAGGGAGAGGTAGAATGGGGTAAATTATCCCTCAAAAAAAAACAGAAAAGAAAAGGCTCTTACAGTGGAGGGGAAATGGGGGAAGATGAGAGGGAATGAGTGAATCTTATTCTCATAGGATTTGACTTAAGGAGGGAATAACATACTCAATTGGGTGTGGAAATCTGTCTTACCCTACAGGAAAATAGGAGGGGGAGGGGACAAGAGAGTAGGGGAATGATAGAGAGAAGGACAGATTGGGAAAGGGAGTAATCAGAAGCAAATACTTCTGAGGAGGGACAGGGTCAAAAGAAAGAATAGAATAAATGGGTGGGTGGGATAGGGTTAAGTGAAATAGAGTTAGTTTTTCACAGCATGTCTACTATGGAAGTGTTTTGCATAACTGCACATGTATAGCCTATATTGAGTTGCTTGTCTTGTCAATGAAGGTGGGTGGGGAGGGAGGAAGGGAGAAAATTTGGAACCCAAAGTTTTAAAAACACATGTTTAAAAAAAATTGTTTTCACATGCAACTGGGAAATAAGAAATACAGGAAATGGGGTACAGAAATCCATCCTGCCCTACAGGAAAATTGAAGGGGAAGGGGATAAGAAAAGGGGGGAGAGATAGAAGGGAAGGCAGACTAGGGGAAGGGGTATTCAGAATGCATGCCATCTTGGGGTGGGGGAGGGGCAAGATGGTGTGAAAATTTGGAACTCAAAATCTTGTGGAAGTAAATGTTGAAAACAAAAAAATAAATAAAAATTACCATTAAAAATAAATAAATAAATAAAAAATAAAATAAAATTCAAGTTAAAAATGCAAGTTTCTTGAAAGCAGAGACTATTTTGGCTTTTTTTTTTTGTAAGTGCCTAGCTCAGTGACCAGAACATAAGTGTTTAATGCTTGTTACCTGATGATTGATGGAGAATAGCTTAAGTCAAGGGGAGATGGTACAATCTGTGCTGGGGAGAGCTCATTGACAAGGGACTTTGTCATTGACAAAGGACTCTCAACATTCTTAATGCCTAATTCATTTATCACACTGTATATAATGGTGGCTGGTTAAAGTGCTATCATCAATCGATCAATCAACCATATACCAAGCACTGTCATAGGCACAATGAAAACAATGACAAAGAATGAACCAATTCCTGCTCCCGAGGAGCTAGCATTCTAAGAGTAAATCAGTCAGGACATATAAAAATAATACAGTACTAATATCACCACAAGGCTGCCTCCATACTGTGTAATTCTCAAAAGACAAATTACATATTTTCATTGCAGTGTTAATACAATTCATGATGACTTTTTTTTTTCTTAGTACTTGCTATTTAGGGTTGAGGATGGTCTACCCTTCTCCCCTAAACCACGTTTGTGTGCTCATGCCAGACTGAGGTCTGCATCTCCACTGATAACATCTTCAGCTGGCACTAAATGAGAAAAAGCGGATGTACATTCTCCAGGGACATCCTAAGAGCCTTGGGAGTAAGGAGATTTTAATCCTGCTTATTACTCCTTGAGGCTAATTCTGATAGAGTCAGATTCTTGGTAGGAAGCAGAAGTGTCCAGCTGAGCATCCTTTATCACCCACCCAGAGTGGCTCCAACAGTGAATAACATATACTCAGTTAACATTTAAATCACTGCCAACAAAAAGAGGGGGGAGAAAAGAAGGACCATACGTCGGCTCTCCAGGAACAGCAGCTATCACCAAGGATCCAAGAGTGATGATCTGGACGTCAACAATCTCAGGATGCCAGGGGTGAGGTCTTGACATCTTCAGAATGAAAAAAGAAGTAAGGGTTTTAATTTTTATCTTATTAGATGTATAGCTGTATTTTCCCTCCAGTCACTTTCTGAATAATGGATCTTGTATTGGAGAATTGGTCCAAACCCTGCTTCCGACACACATTAGATGCCCAACACCCACCCCCCAGGTAAGTCAAGTGTAATGGTGTGGATCGATTGTATAGATCAGTCACCCCACCCCCACTTTAAAGAACATATAACATACTCTAGACCTGATGCCTTTATCAGATGAGGACAAGTCTATTGAATAAATCAGTCAATAAAAGGCATTAAGCTAACATATACCATGTTATATCCTGGGGCTCTTCCATAAAAGATCAAGTCAATGTAGAACCCAGAATGATTCGAGAGTCTGCCAGTGCAGAGGAGAGAACAATGCCAACCAGCCCCTGAGAAGGAATGTGGAGATGGGGTGGTGGACGGTGGGGGATGGGGTTCCTCCTTTTCCCTGCCCCTCCCCCCCACCCTTGAGCATTGTGAACTTTACAGAATCAGAGAATCTCACCAGCCTCCTAACAAGATCTCCAGAGCAGGAGTGACTGGTTGTAGTGTTATTGCATTTGTAAAGTGCAAATATCTCATTTCATCTTCACAACAGCCCTGGCAGCTAACTCCTATTACAGTTATCCCTTCCACATCATGGGGGTTAAGGGCATGGCGCCCACTCAATCTAGAAAATCCATGTAAAATTTTTGACCCTCCCTTCTTACCAGAGAAAAAGTCTGAATTATTATGGTATTAAAAGATAAAATATGTTAGTATTATACAATGCTATACATATATTTTATGCATTTCTGAGTTTCTAAACTTTTTTCTGTATTGTCTGCATGTCATACACAGCTTCTGAAAAACTCCCAAAAAAGTCCCCATTTAATTTCTCATGCCGACCTGGGATATATCAAAACCATGACAGGGAAAGTCATGATATGGAAGGGATAACTATTATTTCTGTTTTGCAGAAAAAGAAACTGAGGCAAACAGAGGTTAAGAGACTTGACCAGGATCCCATAGCTAGTAAGTGTCTAAGGCAGTATAAAATCCTTGAAAACAAGATTATATATTTTAATAGACACTTATCGTAGATCCCATTAAAATCCACAAGTGAATAAAGGTGGATATGTGTTTCCAGCAAGCACCTCGCCTGTACTGAGGAGGATGGGCTTTGGTTTATGACAATCCTTGGTCTCATTGGATGGCTCTCCCAGTAGCTGGTCACGAATGCTGTCCCAAAAAGGGTCTCCTTCAGTTGCACCTGTGAGAAGCCCCACAATAAATAAGATGCCTTGAGTATCTCCCCCACCACCACCGCCCCCATGTCTGATGAAGTCATCACTTTCCTAATGTTTCTTTTGTCTGATGACACTGGGTAATTGTGCTCTGATCATGCCACTCCTTGCCTTAAAAAAAATGTCAATGGCTTTACTTTGCCTAATGAACAAAGTACCAAATCGACTCTGGCATTCAGTCATTCATTCATTCAATCAGTCAGTCAGTCAATCCACCAACAAGTATTTATTAAGCACCTGCAATGTGCCCCAGATCGTGCTGAGTGCTGAGTATCCAAAGACACAACACAAAGTAGCTCTTCCTCATTAGTCCCCTACATTCTATCAGTTATAAGCATTTTATTCCTTTCCCGACTCAATGGGGGCCAATGAGAAGAGAGGTGAGAGTTCTCTCTCCTGAATGTGCTCATGCTCTATGCCAGTGCTCACCTGCCCTTACAAAGTCAGGAGAATTCTTAGTGGATTCCACTTTTTCCCTTCCTGGGAGCCCAGACTGTGTGGAGAACCATAGTGTTCCATGATAACTGACTAGAGGGAACAGGTTTGGGATGTGCCTGTGCTATATGTTTTGTTTACGGTTATTTTATATTTATCATTTATGGTTATACTATATTTAGTGTATGGTTTAGATATGGACCCTAAACCATAGATTAGTAAGCTTAGAATAATACTATTTCAGAGCCAAAAGGGACCTTGAAGATCATGTAATCCATTCTCCAGAATTTATAGATGAGGAAACTGAGGCCCAGAGAAACTTGGTATCAGGGTTGAGGATTGTCCATCTTGCTCCTCTCAGGGTAGACAGTTAGGAAAACCAGGAGAAGAACCCTGTTCTCTCTACTCCCATGCCAGCTCCCACATGCCTGCCTGCTTCTTGGACATCTGTTGTCCCACATGAGCTCTGCCCATATCCCTAGCACCAGCCATCCCCATGCAGGAATTTTAATGGCCTTTGACTTTGGCCCAGTAAAGAGCCACATCCTAGTGGGAGAGTGTGGTATTTAGGGTCAGAAAACCTGACTTAGACCCTGGTTCTTCCACGTCCTACCAGTGTGTCCCAACGTAAGTCACTAGCCTCTCTGTACCTCAGCTTCCTCCTGTGTAAAAATGGGGTGAAGATTGGCTGGGGGGTCTCTCAGGCCCCTGCCAACTCTGAATCCTATGAACCAATCAAGTGACCAAGGAAGTCCTGTAAAAGGTGGTCAAAATGACTCATAACCAAGAATAAACATCCTTGCAGACATCATCAGCCCACCCTTCCTGGTTCGATCATTGATGCTTTACCATCTGGGCCCAATTTGGTCATCCTTACCTTGGGTAAAATTGAGGCCTCCAACGCCATCAATGGTACCAGCTGCAAAGCTGTGGCCAAGGGCAGGTTTACAGGTTTTTGCCTAAAGGAGTGGTTTCCAACAAACAAGAAATAAAAGTTTAGTCGCATAAATAATCCATTTCCAAAAGTTTGAATAAACATTTGTTAAGTACTTACTATGTGCAGGCACTGTGTAGGGAATCAAAAACAAGAATAAGAGACAGTCCCTGCCCTCAGGGAGCTTACATTCTTCAGGGGGATACAAATAAATAAGTACAGGTAATTTAAGGGCAGGGAAGAGGGAGAGAGAAAACTAATAACTGGGGGAATCAGGGAAGGGTACCCTCGGATGTGCTTCTGAGCTGACCCTGGATGGAAGGCAGAAATTCTAAGCTTTGGAGTAAAGGTCATGGGAGAGAACCTATGCAAAGGTTTATGGGCAAGAGATGGAGTTTGGAGTGAATAAGTTGGCCAGTTTATCTGGAAAAGTGCATGAAGAGGAGGAATGCATACTATAATATGCATAAATACTAGTTGGCCAGAGCCCCACTGGGGAGGGCTTTAAAGGTCAAACTGAGGATATTGGGTTTATCCTAAAGGCGATAAGGAGCCAGGGATGATTCTGGAACACAGAGGGTTTGTGGTTAGACCTGAGCCTTAGGAAAATTCTTGTGGAAGATATGCTGGAGAGGAGGGGGCTAGAAGCAAGAAGACCAACAGAGTTTTCTTGCTTATTCCAGGACCTGAACTAGGATGGTGAGGATGGACACAAGAGACATTCTGCGTCTGTTGCTCTGCCAGGTTTCAGCCCCTTCCGGGACAAAGCTATCACCCAGAATCTCACCACCAAGCCAAGAACTCAAGCTCTAATGGGCTCTGCCTCCCTCAGCCTCCTTTCCCCTCTGCTTGGAGAGCTGGAAGATGGTGTACCAAACTCCTCCCACTGCCTTCCTTTACAGAGGGCAGAGACTGGCTGCTCAGCTCACTCCACTTTGCATTTGCTTTTCTGTCTGGTTTCGTCTCCATGAAACATGATGCCCCTGCGCCAGGTACCCCTAGCCTCCCCCCCCACCTCACTTTCCTGCTTCCTTTGGTGTGTCGTCTCCCTCGATTAGAGGGCAAGTTCCTTGAGGGCAAGAACCGTCTTTCTTTTTGTTGTTGTATCCCCAGAACTTAGCACAGTGCCTGGCACATTGTAGGCAATTAATTAATGTGGATTGGATGGGATTTATTGGACTGATGGTGAGATAGACAAGACACAGCAACTGGTTGGTGATAAGTATGACAGGGAGCAAAGAATAAAGAATAGCTTTGAAAGGACCAGAAGGATAGTAACGCGTCCAATGGAGACAGAAAACTTCGGAGAAGAGGCGGGGTTAGAGGGGAAGAGGTGAGCTCCCTTTCAAATGTGGTGTGTTTGAGATAGCAGGAATACATCCAGGTAGAGGTACACAGCACGCAACCAGAGACATGAGACAAGAGCTCAGGAGAGAGATTAAGAGGGAAGAGAGATGGAGAGCTGGAGATTAGATCAGTATTCGTGGCTCTTGTATAAACATGTATGTGTGTGTGTGTGTGTAAGTGTGTGTATAGACATGTATACAGATACACAAACATATATCATCCCTGTATAGAGGCTTCATACATATAGGTGTATAGACATGTATATCTATAGATACACAAACATATATCATCCCTGTATAGAGACTTCATATATATAGGTACATGTATGTATGCCCACACATCTCATATATACTTGTATACACATGCATGCACACATACACACATGGCTCATGTGTGTATAAATTAGGCATGTATCCTATATGTATATATACAAAGCCTATTACAGGAATGGTATATGTATGTGCGTGTACATTTATATGTATATGTGTTTGCATATATATACATACATGTGGGTATAGATGAGGCTTCTGTCCAGGGATGATAACTGAGCCCATGAGAGCTGATGAGATCACCAAGAGAGGAAAGACAGAGAGAAAGGAAGAGGGTCCAGGACAAGGCTTCAAAGGCCACCCACCCTTAGCAGGTGGGAGATGCCTGACGTCCACCAAGGAGGCCAAATGGCTCGGCATCCTGACTGAGGGGCACTCACCGTGTGCGTGGAATTGAGCTGCACAGTGACGTCCGTCATGTTGACCCACTGGTGAGCTGCAGACAGAGGACCGAGGATCTCCTGAGAGGCTATGTCGTACAGTTCCTGAAATACACAAATGTGGAAGGGAAGCCGATCAATTCAGTGGCCGTCAGCCATCACACATTAAGTGCCTGTGTGCCCGGCGCTGTGCTTGGCCCTGGAGTTACAAAGGAAGAAATTGGGGCAGGGGGAGGTGGGTGCTACAGCTTGGGCACAGGTAAATAAATACAAATTATATACAAAGCAACATGAAGTGATTTCAAGGGGAAGAGTGCATTAAAAATGGTGGGATCAGGAAAGGCCTTGCTTCATAGACGGTTGGTGCCTGAACTGAGCTTTGAAGAAAGCCAGGTACTTTATAAGATGGCGGCCAGGAGGGAGAAGACTCCAGGCATGGAAACTGAGCTGAGACTATGAAAGAAAGAAGACCAGAGGAAGTCACACTTGACAAGTGACAGTCAGCAGAAGTCCATTGACACCTTAAAGTCTTGGAGGTCCAAAGCTAGAAACCCAGGGCTGCAGTCTACATCATCATTCCTTGAAAGAAGAGGAGTGGTAGGAAGAAATCTGGGCTTGAAATCAGGAGTAGACCTGAGTTTGAACATTGGTTCTGACATTTAGCAGCTCTGTGTGTGTGTGTGTGTGTGTGTGTGTGTGTGTGTGTGTGTTTGTGTGTGTGTGCGTGTGACTGCAGGCAAGCCTCTTAACCTTGCTGAGCAAGCCTCAGTTTCCTCATTTTAAGGTTTGATGATATTAATGCCTATTTGTACGACCTACTTCATGCAGATACTGGCATGAGAACATTTTGTAAAGTCTTAAAGTATTATACAGGCCTGAGTTATAATTACTATAGACTCCACCCCTGACCCCCCAAATCTGATAGGTGAACTCTGCCTATTATGGTTAGGGCCCAGCCTCTGTACAACCTTGTCCTGACCCTCCACAGGTACTCCCCTCTCCCTTTCCAGCTACCCCTTGTATATTGTCTTCCCCCATCAGGACGGAAGCTTCCTGAGGGCAAGGCTTGTCTTATTTACCTGTATTTGTATCCCCAGTGCTTAGCCATTGCATAGTACATATTAAGTGTCTAATAAATGTTTTAACTAGCTACCTATCTCATTAGACCACATAATGTGTACATATTAAGAAATACTAATAAGTGTCTAATAAATAATGAAGTCTAATAAAGTGTCTAATAAATACTCC